TTATTGGTCAGGGGGCTTAGACCCAGACGCTTGCAAACCCTGCCTCCCTGGAAGTCTTCAAGTTAAGACTGACCATTTGTTCAGAATGGCTAGACCAGAGGGGCCCACCCAATGGCCAGGGTCTACTAGGCACCCTCCTCCTCACCCTGCTCACCATCAACATTTCTCCTTTTCCTTTCCTTCCTTATTTCCTACCCCCTTCCTCCCTCCCCTTTCCTGATAACCCTCTCCACCTTGTTCCTCTGTCTCTCTTCTCCAGCTCTGTCCTACTCTAGCGAATGGCATTACCAGATTCTAAATAGGGCACTCAGGGCTTCTTAACCCTTGAGTTAGATCCTGCTGAGCCTGGAAGCAGCAAGGTAGATGAGAGGACCTCAGAAGGTGCTCTCCACCAAGAGTCTAGCTCCCAAATCCCAGAAACCTGAGAACTTGCAGAAAATCTATCACATCATTTTAAACCAACACTGAGGTTAGGAGTGCCATTTTGGAGAATCATCTGATGAGTTGTTGAGAGCTGGTGCCCTTTGATATTGCTGAATCCATAAAGCATGGTGAGGTGTCTGGGCCCACCACTTCCTCCTACCAGGCATCTCCTTACCTTGTAGGAAGGGGTGTCCGTGCCCGGGTTCTCAGCCTGCACAACAATGTAGGCATGTAAGAAATTGGAGGCAATCATATCTGGGACAAACGGTGTGTTCTCTTCTTGGAAGATGATGGCCACAATGTCATTGCCAATGTGTCTCTTTCTCTGGAGCTAAATGAAAGGTGTTCAGTTGTTACAAGCCAGATAAAAGCATCTTGAAAACAGAGTAGATCTGTACAAGAAATTCCTCATTATTTATCTTTATACATCAACCCTGGAACTCTGAGACCTAGCTCTCCAAGGGAGTTCTTCTTTCAATCTTTAGAAGCCACACACACACACACACACACACACACACACACACACACGCACCAACACAAAGAGGGAAGATGCCCAAGTTGCTAGGTAGAAGCCGGCAAGCATCTTACTAAGCTCTACAATGTGCACAGCCCTGATTCAGGACTTGGGGAGAATATTTAAAAGATGAGGCCAGCTCTTGACTGGTAGAGTCTGTAATTGATCCAGGAGAGACACAAACACAGGTGAAGCCACCTGAGAACACTAACAAAGCCACCAGCCAACAAGTGCTAAGTCAGCTGCTGCACATGCAGTGCCTGACAGCTATGGGGGCAGAGAGGAGGGTGACATCAGATGGTAACCCGAGAAGGCTTCTTGGAAGAGAAGATTGGACATGGGTGGGGTCTTGATGGAAATGTGGATTAGTAGAGATAAGGGGATGAACCATTCCACCAGAGGGGAGAAGAGCCAAGCTTAGAGAAGATGGGCAACCTGGCCTGGCGGAGGTCCTGGGGGAGACAGAAATCCCACCCCGATCCAGTATCTCAAGCTGTTTTAGGGGCTTCCACACGTGACCCCAATCACCAAGCACCTACTGTGTCTCAGGAGGCAGCCAGTCTGTCCAGGCTCTTCATATGCGTGATTTCAAATGGTAAGCCCCTCCTCTATACCAAGTCCTGGCTAGTGCTTACCTACACATTTGTTCCTTTATTAAGCACCTACTGTGTGCAGGCACTATGCTAGGCCCTCTCACATTGAGTTTCTCATTAACTGAGCACCTGTTATACATTAAGCACCATGCTGGGCACTTGCACACAAACTGTCTCACTTATTTCACACATATCATCTCAATTTTTGGAAAGAGAAAATAGATATTTATTCAGTCCTGGTCAAGAGCTACCTATTTAGCATACTTGAGGGAGTAAAATGAACAACCTCAGCCTCAGGCCGGGGCAGGGGTGCAGGGAGCCATGAGGTAACAGAGACTGATGGTGAAATGCTGAGAGAAAATCTACTTTGGCTACAAAAGGAATCCTGCTCTCATTTGTTTCTGGAACATTCCATCATTATTTTAGAGCCAAATCACAGTATCATTTGCCAATTTCCTTTTTTCCTAAGAAGCCAGGCACTATGTTTACAATTCTACATCTGTGCTCCCTCCCCAGTTCTCTGCTCAGAAATAAATGGGTCAGAGTCTGGGCAAAGGGCTACTTGTCTTTCTGATTTTCCTAGAGGCTGAAAAGGGGCGAAAGAGTGGGATGGCGTAAATGATGTTGCAACAGCCAGAGACGAGCTGCGGGTTTCAGGGCTCAGAGAGAGACAGCAACCAGGCCCTCCCGGGACACATAGCTGTCAGAGGAGCCAGTGTGAGGGACAGAAAGAAAACACTGGAAGCAGACATCTTATTCAGGTTCCCTGGTTGAGGTGAAGGCTGGATTCCTGCCCACAGGCAGACATGGTGAGGGTGAGGCTGTGAGGCTAGGAAAGCTTGGGTGGTTGGAGGCGGGTGGTCTCATGCAATAACCAGCTTTATATCACTGGGGCAGGAAGGGAGAGAAAAAGGTTAGTGGCCTGTATAGTGAACAGCTGTATGCAGGAAGCCTACCACAAGCAGACGTCATACTGAACCCTGTATTCAGAGCCTTATGAATCCCCACAACAACCTTCTGAGGTAAGTGACATTATCCTCAGTCTAGAGACAGGGAAAATGAGGCCATAAGGTTAAGCGACTTGCCCAGAGTTACGTAAAGTGGCAAAGCTCGGATTCAAGCCCCCATCTGCAGACCCCATCACGCACTCTTAACCACCACCCTATAAGACCAGAACACCTCAGCTGCAGTCTCCTCACCAGCCAAGGTGGGAATGACAGGAGCCTGGCCCTGCCTCCCGCACAGAGTGCTGCCGTGCGGACTTGGAGAGATAACGTAATAAATAGAACAGGCTTTGACACCACATAGCCGAAGAGACTGGACTCTGGATTATGAAAATGGGGAGGGGACTCAAGTCCCTTGGGCAGGTCAGACCAGAAGCCTGCCTTCACCTCATATGCCCCGGGACTTCCAAAACCCTCTCAAACCAGGTTACCTGTTGGGCGTCGCCTTCAGTAAACGGCAGCTTTGTGGAGACGTGAAACATGATCTCTCTGTCCCGGAATACCGTGTACACTGATTCCACCCCTGTCTGTCCATGCAACACATCCAGGCCTCCTCGGAAACTGTCAGTAGAACAGGGCAGGGGCCAAGAGAGAAAGAGAGTGAGGGGAAATGGGTGATGTGGTGCAAGCTTCCCAAAGAACATGGGGTGGGGGCACGAACCAGAAGACGGGGTTGGGGGAGCTGAGGGCAGAGGGAATTAGGATGGGGGAGCAGACAGATTTGCTCCTCAGAACAGACTAGCCCTGGTTCTAACCATAAATCTGTTATTTAAAAGACAAAGGCAGCCACTTCATATCCACTAGGATAGCTATAAAAAAAAATTAAGAAAAAAAAGCGCTGGCAAGGATGTAGAGAAATTTGAACCCTCCCACATTGCTGGCAAGAATGTAAAATGGTACAGCCTCTGTGGAAAACTGTTTGGCAGTTCCTCAGAAAGTTAAACATAGAATTACCATATGACCCAGCAATTACACTGCTAGGTATAAACCAAAAGAATTGAAAACAGGGACTCAAACAAATATGCACACATGCACGTTCACAGCAGCACTATTCACAATAGCCACAAGGTGGAAATAGCCCAAATGTCCATCAATGGATGAATAGATAAATAAAATGTGGTCTACCCATACAATGGAATATTTCTCAGCCATAAAAAGGAATGAAGTACTCATACATGCTACAGTGTGGATGAACCTCAAAAATATTGTTAAGTAAAAGAAGCCAGACACAAAAGGTCACATATTATATGATTCCAGTTATATGAAATATCCAGAGCAGATAAATCCATAGAGACAGAAAGCAGATTGGTGGTTGCCAGGGACTGGGGGAAATGGGGAGTGACTAATTAATGGATATGGGGTTTTCTTTTGGAGTGATGACAAGCTTGCCCTAAAATCAGTTGCCATAGAATCGATTCTGACTCATGGAGACCCCATGTGTGTCAAAGCAGAACTGTGCTCCGTGGGGTTTTCAATAGCTGATTTTTCAGAAGCAGATCGCCAGTCCTTTCTTCTGAGACACCTAGGAGTGGACACAAACCTCCAA